GAATCTAGATGCCTAATATTTTAAAAACAGAGACATTTTCAAGGACAATACTACCAATAACAATTAAAGGGATGATGGGAGGATTTTTTTTAAAAACAAAAGTTCATAGTTTTACATTTGGTGGGGTTGACTGATAATTTAGATTCGTGACACCAATCGTTTAATTTGATAATTTCACTTTGCAATATGGAATGATCCCCAGTGTTACATGCTTCACCCAAACTGAGGTCATCAACAAACTTCCACTTATGTTCAAAATCAGAGCAGGCTTTATCAATAACTGCTAAAAAGACCAAAGGACCAATTTTTGTCCCCTGAGGTACACCACAAGTTAGAATCACCGAAGGGGAGAGGGCAGAATGATAACGAACCTTTTGCCTACGTTCAGTGAGAAAACGTATGACCCATGGAATAATCTCTGGTCTAGCACCAAGAGAAATCAAGCTATTAATAGCAACAGTGTGATCAATACTGTCAAACGCTTTGGCGAAATCGGTAAGTAAAAGAGTTCCTACAGTGTTAGGTTTGTCACTATGTTTGTAGAAAAAATTCAATATTGTCACTATGTTTGTAGAAAAAATTCAATAAATCAGATAGGTAATGTACAGTTGAAGCTCCTTTCAAACATCCATATTGGCTGTTGTCAAGGCTTCCCATTATATCAGATAACAACCATTTATATACAAAACTTATGCTTAACAGGGTATTCTTTGGGAACAGGGACTACAAAAGCGTCTTCCAGATATGAGGAACTACACCATCTTTGAGTGATGTATTGAAAATGTCTGTCAAAGGTATACTCAGTTCACAAGCAAAGTCCTTGATAATCCTATTTGGGATGCAATCAGGACCAGGCGACTTATAAGGGTTGATTCTACAGAGTTGCTCATACATTACGTATTCCTCAATTTTACAGGGCGTTTTTGCAGGAAGGAAAGCATGTAGGTCATTGATATCAATAGATGGTCTACTTTGAGTTATTTTCGCAAAGTTCATATTAATATGGTTGGCTATACCATCATTGTTCATAGGAGAAATACCAGGAACATTAATAACTGGCGATCCTTTAACACGGTTTGCAATGAGCTGTATACCACGATGCCACAAAGATGGGTCAGAGGACTTGAGATTACGAATTTTATTAGCATAAAAATTCAACTTGGCCTTGGAAATGGATTTCTGTGTGCGATTACGATACATCCTCCATTGAAAACATTTACCATTGGAGGCAAAAGCTTTTTGACGCTTGTTAATTAAGTATTTAATGTTGGAATTCATCCAGGGCTTGTCCGTAGCATGCAATTTAAACGATTTAATAGAGAAGTAGTAGTCAATGGCAGAGCAGAGTAAAGTATAAAACGCATCAGTTTTGGATTGAACGTCTGAACACTCAACAATTTCTGCCCAATCGTGCTGGGAAATCCACTGCCCAAATTGATGCAATAAATAATCAGGCAATGGTCGAATAATTCTTGTTTTACAAGCGCTCGGCTGCCTCGTAATAGACACTGCAGGCCAGACGATACAATTGTGGTCACTAAGACCTATAGTGACTGAATGATGGGGCGCTGATATCGACTTTTCAAATCAGATATGATCAAATCAACAACTTGCTGTAGACGATGAGCTCTGCAAAGCGGTTGAATATTAGTCCGGTTAAAATTGCCAAGTATAATAACACCAGCATCGTGGTGTTTCTGTTTGAGCATGCCTATGCCCTGAATAAGATGATTAACAAGCAACTCTTGATGAGGAGAATTTGGCGGAATATAAACAGCGCAAACATTTAAGGCAGAAATTGAACGTGGTAAGCGAGTTGGCCGTGCCCAAATCCATAGGCGTTCAAGATCATCAGGGACAGAAATATCAGGAAAAATATACGAGGGGATGCTAGCATTCACATAAATAGCAATTCCTCCTCCTTTTTTTAACTTGCGTTGATAGGTAAAAATTTCATAACCCTCAATGGAAAGAAAGTCATCTGTTATATTGTTAGTTTGCCAAGTTTCTGTAATTACAGCAATGTCAGATTTGTTATGATCAAGCAACAATTTCAATTCATCCACTCTGTAAATAATAGAGCGTGCATTAGTGAGAAAAATATTGGGCAGCTGGATACTAGGTATAGTACTGGTATCCTGAGGCTTCGGGCTTCATAACTGATTCAGTTGAATAGGGACAAGTGTACGATTTCTAGCCTCAATTACAGAACGTTTGAATTTCACTTCAGGTCGATTAACAGACGCTAATGTGCCAATATGCCTCCTGATCTTACGACCACCTCTTCGGCTACGAGGGCGTTTAAACATTTTCAGTTCTCTCAGGAATGAAAAGAATGCACTAACAGTTACAACAGCAGGTGGTAATCTTTTGTTACGTGGTTTGATGTAGAGCATTTCAGCTCTAGAATAAACGAATAATGGCCGATGATAAAATAAATCACTATGATTCGCTGACAGTGCCATTACGCCCCGTGAAAATTTAGGAAAAAAGCTAGGCCTAGGTCATAGTACATTACAATGTCCAACAAGTGGTTGTTCCCCCGCCATGATTAGATGAGCCATCCGTCTCCAGCAAGCTGGTTTACCTATTGCGTCGCATTTTAGTCATAACCACAGTAAAGAAGATATCAAGATCACTGGTGTTTCTCTTTTTCAAGGATCCGACACTATTATAAAAAACTTGGAGCAAAAATTGATTTTTAAATTAGGCACTATCGCTCCCTCCGGTCTTAATGTATCTTTCAATGCTTTTAAGATTTAATTTCTCATCTTGTTTGGATTTTGATTTTGATTTTGGACCATGTGTTTGATTATTATTACTTTTATTTGATCAGCTCTTTATATTTTTTTATTTATTTATATACTTTTTAATTTTTCTTTTCGTTTTCATTTTTATATTCATATAGGCCTATATATTATTTCTTCTTATATATAGTTTATATTTATGTATATGATTTTTACCATAGTATATTTTTCCCGCGTTTTTATCTTGACTGCTTGTTTGTAGCTTGGCATACACCCTTAAGGATATTGTTCTTTTTTCTGTTATAGCGTTGCTTCACGTCATACGTTGCTTTGTCTTACGTCCGTTATATTTGTATATATTGTTTTTCTTTTTTTTATGC